CTAGGCCTTTGGTCAGTGGGAGCTGCTTCCTTCCTGGGAGCCTGACCGCTAGGTTCCTGCCACCTGTGATGTCACATGTGGTTAGATCCTTTCCGGGTTTCTCCTAATCTTAAAAGGGGAGGAAAGGTACTGCTGCTTTGTCCCTGTGGGCTGTGGGCTTTGTCCCTGGGGATGTGGTGTTATATGTCACCTAAACCCCTCTTGTTATGGGGGGGTGGGCCTTGTGTGTGGCAAACCATAAAGTGAGACCTAGAGACATATACTGAGCTGCTAATCACAAGGTCAGCCGTTTGAATGCACCAGCTACCAAGTTCTACTTGGTCCTATAGGGTCCCTATAAGTCAGAATCGACTCAGTAGGTGAGCGAGACAGGAACTCAGGCCAAAATCACCCCCAGAGTCACCAGGCTGCACCTGCAGGTCTAGAAGCAAATGAGCAGTTGGTCAGCGGGGACCGCTGTCTGATAAGCACACAGGAGGCTGCTCCGCTGGGTGCCCAGGGCTCGCCTCCATAGAAACTCCAGCCCTGGGAGGACGCTGGGCTCTGTCTCCTTTTAAGGCAACGTCTGAGCACTCTGGCCCCAGCCCCGCTCATTCCTGGCTATTTGGAGGAAAGTGGTGATTAATCAGCCCTTCCCCCTCCCCAGCCTGTTTTTCATTAGGTTTCTTTTTAAAGGGCTGGCACCTCTCCTTGGAAACAGGCACCAGGGAGATCCAAGCCAACCAGGACCCCCTGTGAGGGAAGGACCCTAGCAGTGAGGGGGCAGGATCCAGTCAGGGCAGGAAAATCAGGCTGGCTGGGAAGGGCAGAGGTTGTGACTTGGAGTCCCAGGTCTAAGGGGGTTGGGAGGTTGTGCGCTTGGGTGGCCAGGGAGACCCACACACCCAGCGAGATGCTGGGGGCGTGGGGGTGGGGGATGGCAGGTAGTGCTTTGCCCCTGTCTGGGAAGGTCAGAGGAGGTCACAGGAACATAGTGGCTGCTGGGGAGACAGTTTGGAAACCCGTTTTCTGAACTTTTTGTGTGATGTTGGCTGAGTTAGCCTATCTTCGGATGCTCAGCTTCCTTCTAGGGAGGTCTGTGGCCTGGCGTTTGGGAAAACAAGCGGTCAGGTCTCTCCCCTCGACTCCTGAGGTGGGAGGAGGGGTTGACGATGAAATCCATGGTGAACCCGGAGAAAGGAGGGAATTGATCCCCTGGCCAAGCTGTGAGCAGACCTTGGGACTCAACTCACTCACAGTCAGTTCCAACCCACAGCAAGCCCGGTTAGGGCAGGGTAGAACTGCCCTGTGCATTTCCAAAACTGTTACTCTGGACAGGAGTAGCGAGCCCCATCTTTCTCCTGGTGGTTTCAAACTGCTGACCTTGGGGTTAGCGGTTCAACACGTGACCCGTTACGCCACCAGGGACCTTTGTGAGAGTGTCCTACCACAGCTGAAGGAGCCCTTGGGTGGTCTAAATGGCTAATGTGCCCAGCTGCTGAAAGGTTTGCAGTTCAACCCCCTCCCCGCCCAGACACCTTGGAAGAAAGGCCTGGTGACCTACCCTAGCAGCCGTCGCGGGGGCACCAGTGGTTCCGTGCTGGCATCCTTGCCAGGCACTCTGTGCACGGTCACCCCCGCTGCCAGTGGAGGCCTGTGCGTGGTCACAGTGTGAAAAAGACTTCCGCAGCACTTCCAGGTGAAGACAGAGCAGGGAGCAAGGCCTACGGATCCACTTCTGGAACACAGACACTGAAAACTCTGTGGGTCACAAAGGTCCCATCCTGTTGTGCTGAACGTCCCAGGAGTCACGGGGTGACAGGTGACAGCGACAACAGAAGGGCTGGCCCATTCGATGGTCTCCTGTGTACGGTCCTATTTCACTCTTCCTTTCAAATCCTGGTGTGGGATGCTCACCTCCACTTCTGCATGCAGTCCTGAGCCAACCCCCACAGGGGGCTCTGCTTCCACAGGAGTCCCTGGGGCAGCTGGGCCTGGGCCACGGGGCGCAGGAGGAGGGAAGGGGAGCATTCCTAGGCCCTGTCTCACCAGCCTGTGCCCCTTGGCTGCAGGCGGTGATCCCAGCAGTGGAGCCAAGGACTCCAGCAGCTAAATAAACCCAGGGCGGGTCCCCAAAGGCAAGTGTTTGTTCTGTAGGTACAAGCCGTCTCCATAGGGCCAGCGGCACCCTCCATGCCCTCTGGGAGGGGCAGGGGCAGGGGCAGGGGCAGGGAAGAGCTCACAGAGCCAGAGCAGAGATGGAATGCTACGCTCCAGAAAGCCTGACAGCTCTTCAGCTCTTCAAAGCCCTGCCGGGAAGGCCATCCCGGCATCCCTGGAGGCTCTGCTCCCTCCCGTGGGTGTGGCTTTTCCCAGTTACAGGCTTTTATTTCATTTCTTCCTATGGTTGAATGAACTTGGATGTCACTAAGGACTACAAGTTCATTTCACTTGGACTTTACCTCTCTCTCTCTTTTTTTTTTCCCTCCAGCCACTCAGATGAATATTTAGGCCCAAGGGCTGAGGAATTTGAAGGTTTGGGCTTTTTTTTATCTCCCGTAAATTTTGTTTTTAAAGAAGCACACTTAAAAAAAAAGAAGCACACAGATTTAGCTACACAGCCCATTTTAACAGAGGAAATGGACACGACCCAGTGAGACCCTCCTTCAATGCGGTTCTCCCTCTTTCCTGCCCCCCAGCCCCACCCTTCCTCAGTATCCTATCCTGCCTCTCTTGCCCCCATCCCGGGCCTCTTCGTAGTCATCGAAGTCTTATCTTTCAGGGTAAAAAACTCTGTTTCTTTTTCTTTGCTTTGCTAATAATAATAGTGTTGCTAAATATTTATCTTTGTGAGGCTGACTAAGTTTGCGAAGCATAATGTTCCCCAGCGTTGTTCCTGGCTGGCAGTGCTTCAGGGAGTCGTCCTTACTTTTTATTGGTGCTTGATATTCCAGTTGGACAATGAAAATCTCCCTTCTATCCTCAGGGCAGGGGCTCCTGCTGCTCCCATGCGCAGACCTCCTCCTCTGAGCCTTGTGGCTTCTTCCAGCTCTGCAGAGGGAGGGCTGGAGGCCAGGGGGCACGCAGGGTGGTGCAGATATGACCCAGTAACTTCCCTGGACAACCTGTCAACACAGAGACACAGAATCCTCCCGAGGCCAGCCAGTCTGGGGGAGTCCAGGGCTGCCCACAGAGGTGCAAAGCTACTACTAGAAAATGAAGGGCAGTACTTCGAATTCACACTCAGTGGAGAGGTCCTTCAGTCTATGATGTCTCCCTGGTCTCTGTATGGTTCTCACGGCTGTTGAGTAGATGCCGACTCACAGTGACCCTATAGGACAGGGTAGCACTGGCCCTGTGGGGTTCTGAGACAGTAACAGTGTGAGTAGAAAGCCTCATCTTTTTTTTTTAATCATTATATTAGGGGCTCATACAGCTCTTATCACAATCCATACATACATCAATTGTGTAAAGCACATTTATACATTCATTGCCCTCATCATTCTCAAAACATTTGCTCTCCACTTAAGCCCCTGGCATCGGCTCCTCGTTTCTTCCCCTCCCTCCCTGCTCCCCACTCCCTCATGAACCCTTGATAATTTATAAATTATTATTTTGTCATATCTTGCCCTGTCTGCCATCTCCCTTCACCCACTTTTCTGTTGTCCGTCTCCCAGGGAGGAGGTCACATGTAGATCCTTGTAATCGGTTCCCCCTTTCCAACCCACTCTCCCTCTAAGCTCCCAGTATCGCCACTCCCACCATTGATCCTGAAAGGATCATCCGTCCTGTATTCCCTGTGTTTCCAGTTCCTATCTGTACCAGTGTAAATCCTCTGGTCTAGCCAGACTTGCAAGGTAGAATTCGGATGAAAGCCTCGTCTTTCTACGGAGCCTCTGGTGGTTTTGAACTGCTGATCTTGAGGTTAGCAGGCCATTGCACAACCTTCACACCGCCAGGCCTCCTCTTTATCTCAACGAGATGGTGGTGGCGAGTTGGTACTGGCGGCCCTTGAATGGGCCCCACACTGTTCAACCACAACACAGTGGAACACACTGCTTGCCAGTCTTGTGCCAAAGCCACGGTCAATTGCCGTCGATCTCATGTGATCCGTTGGGTTCTCCATGGCTGGGTTCGGGAAGCAGATATCTCACCAGGACTCTATAGCCCGTCTTAGTCTGGGTGCTCAGCTGAAACCTCTTCAGCACGCTAGCCGTGCACGAGCCTCCACAGACAGATGGGTGCTCACTGTGCTGGAGGCTGGGAACCGAACCAGGGTCTCCCGCATGGAAGGTGAGAATCCCATTGGACCGCCCCTGCCCCTGAGGATGGTAGGCAGAACTTACAAATACCCTGATTCATAAAAATAAAATGTCAGCAACTTTATGTTGTTGGTGCCCCCAAGACATTTTTTTACCTTTTTTTCTCTTTTGATAAGGGGCTTATCCAATTCCAGTATTTGAGAACCACTGACTGATCCCGTTGGAAGTAGAGTTGGGACTAGGATGAGGTGTGTGTGGCATTTGACTCAGACACAACATGGAAGGGAGCGCCCAGACTGAAGCATCAAGATAAGGAGTATGTTCATGTTCTCGTCTGAAAAGCCAAAATGAGTGAAAAATTCCATCATGGACTGAGTATCAGACTTTTAAATAAAGGCAGGGGCATTATGACAGCTTTTGCCATTTGCCTCGGGCTCCAGTGTGGTTCAGCCTGGCACTGCTGGATGCACTCCTTCCGGCGCGCCTGGCAGAGAAGGGTGACTCTGGGCACCTTCTGCAGGAGGAGCTGCCACCGGGCCTTCAGTCTCTGGTGATCCTGAGCCTTTCAGGCCATCTCTGCGGCCCTCTCCCAGATTCCCATGCTGGTCTTCATGAAGACACCCAGCCACTTCTCCAGGCCCCAGCCTGTCCCGCTGAGGCTCAAGGGCAGTTACATAAGTGCTCCCCACACTGGTCCCCTTATTGGGGCCTTTCCCTCATGCAGCTTTTCATGTTTATTTTTCTTTTCCGAATTCTTAGGAAAGCAAACCAGTGGAGACCAAGGCGGATGCCAAGAATGGAGAGGAAAGGGGCAAAGATGCCGGCAGAAAACCCCTGGGCCCCAGGCGGGACTCTGATCTGGGGGGGAAAGAGCCCAAGAGGGGTGCCTTAAAGAAAAGCTTCTCCCGAGACAAAGACGGAGCTGACGGCAGACGGGAGGAGAAGCCCAAGGACGAGAAGGTCATCAGGGGCATTGACAAGGGCCGGGTCAGGGCCGCAGTGGACAGGAAGGAGACAGGTCAGGACGGCAAGAGCGAGGAGAAGGCCGGGGCCACGAGGAAGGGAGAGAAGGAAGGGAGCGACCGGAGCCCCGAGGTGGGCCGAGACGCGGGGAAGAAGGGGGAGGGGCCGATGCCCCCGGCCCCCGAAGAGGCGAAGGCCAAGGTAAAGGGGCCAAGTAGAAGCCCGGCCGCCGCCAGAGAGGCTGAGCAGAAGACCGGGGAGCGTGCGGGCCCAGGCGCCAGGACGCAGGAGGAGAGGCCACAGGGAGGAAGCGGGACCCAGGACACCAAAGCGGAGGGCGGGAAAGCCCCGAAGCACGGACCCTCCAGCGAGAAGGGACCCCAGCGAGTGAGCGAGGCCGGGGTGCAGGAGGGAGGCGGGGCCGGCCCGCCCGCCCCCGGAGGCCCCGCCCAGGCCGTGGATGGCCCCGCCCAGGTGGAGGAGGAGGCGGCTCCCAGCATATTTGACGAGCCCCTGGAGAAAGTGAGGAACAACGACCCCGAGACGACGGAGGTTAACGTCAACAACTCCGACTGCATCACCAACGAGATCCTGGTGCGCTTCACAGAGGCTCTGGAGTTCAACACGGTGGTCCGGGTGTTTGCCTTGGCCAACACGCGGGCGGACGACCACGTGGCCTTCGCCATCGCCATCATGCTCAAGGCCAACAAGACCATCACCAGCCTCAACCTGGACTCCAACCACATCACGGGCAAAGGCATCCTGGCCATCTTCCGGGCCCTGCTGCAGAACAACACGCTGACCGAGCTCCGCTTCCACAACCAGCGCCACATCTGCGGGGGCAAGACGGAGATGGAGATCGCCAAGCTGCTCAAGGAGAACACCACCCTGCTGAAGCTGGGCTACCACTTTGAGTTGGCGGGGCCCCGGATGACCGTCACCAACCTGCTCAGCCGCAACATGGACAAGCAGCGGCAGAAACGGCTGCAGGAGCAGAGACAGGCCCAGGAGGCCTGCGGCGGCGGCGGCAATGGCGAGAGGAAGGCTCTGCTGGAAGTGCCCAAGGTGGGCACCCTGGCCAAGGTCTCTCCGACGCCCTCCCCGCAGCCATCTCCAAAGCCCTCTCCAAAGAACTCACCCAAGAAGGGGGGTGCTCCGGCTGCCCCACCCCCGCCTCCGCCTCCCTTGGCCCCACCGCTTATCGTGGAGAACCTGAAGAACTCACTCTCACCAGCGACCCAGAGGAAGATGGGGGACAGGGTGCTCCCTGCCCAAGAGAAGAACTCTCGAGACCAGCTGCTGGCCGCCATCCGTTCCAGCAACCTCAAGCAGCTCAAGAAGGTTAGCAGTGGGGCGCAGGCTCAAGAAGGGCTGGGGAAGGGCAGGGCTGAAGGCAAGGCTGCCGAAGGCGTTGGGCTTAAGCTTCTGGCTTGCAGGGCTGATGGGTCTCAGGTCATCTGGTCGGTCCTCCTGCCTCCAGGCAGGTGCGTTCCAAGTCCCTTTAAGGCGCAATGGTATCCCTACTTGAATGACTTCAGTACCTAACGCCATGGCACCTGTCCTTCCTGCATCCTGCAGCTAAACCTGTGTCCCAGAGGCGGATGTACCGCAGGGCTTCGCAGGCTTTGCTCGCTACTACCTGCCATCTTGGTTCTACGGAATTCTCCCTCAGCACCAGTGGAGTCCTGCCTGTCATCTTATCCCAAAGGCCTTTGGAGATTTGCTCCCTGGGAGAGGTTGACCTTTGATCAGCCAGTGCCAGGGACACACAAGCCCCTCCTCCTCCAAGGCCTGCCTCCCTGGAAGCCTTGCCCAGGTGACAGTCTGGGCCACCTGCCCCTCTGACTTGATGGTGGCAGTTGACTCTGCCCCCGTGCTTTGGGGCTAGGTACTGGGAGGGAAAGGAGAGATCTCCATGATCATTCCAGCACTCCTTTGGTGAGATCCAATTTTTTTAAAATTTATTTTTAAAATGTTTTTGATTTTTTTTTTAAGATCCAATTTAAAAAAAAATCATTTTATTGGGGGGCTCACACTACTCTTATCACAATCCATACATCCATCCATTGTGTCAAGCACATTTGTACATTCGTTGTCCTCATCATTCTCAAAACATTTGCTCTCCACTTAAGCCCCTGGCATCAGGTCCTCGAGATCCAATTTTCAAGGGGGTGGGGTGGGAGGACTGGCGTGTCATGCCTCCAGAAGAAAAGGGAGTGGCATGATTCGAGGCCCCAGCCCAGTTCCTGTCTCTAACCTTTCTCTGCTTTGCTCCCACAGGTGGAAGTGCCCAAACTGCTTCAGTAGGACCAGACTGCCAGGCCTCACCTCCTAGGACCTCACAGACCCCAGCCCCTCACTCCTGACCGACCGATCAACTGACCTGCTCTGGAGGTCCCGATTCCACCACGCAGAGAGTGTGAGGCGGAGGCCGCGCTCGAGAAAGGACACCTGACCTCTCCTGGCTTTCTTTCCTGGACCCCGAGGCGCTCCCAAAATGTCTGTGGTTGCTTTTTGTTGATCTTGAAGCCGAGGTTTCTGGGCAAGAAGAGTCCCTTTAGCGTGCCGCTGAGAAACTGGCATTGTCCTGAGCCCACCCAGCTGGCAATCAGTGGAAAGCTTATGATCCAGGAAAGCCATCCCCACGGGACCACATACCCATCCCAGCCCCATGCCCTCCGGGCCAGGATTCAGGCCTCTGAGGAGCCCTTGGGCCAGGCTGCTGGGTAGTAGGACCCCATGTGGGGCAGTGGCTGAGGGACTGAGAGGGTGTGGGGCCTCAGGAGAGAGTGGGGAGGGTTGAGGACACCCCCACAGTCTTCTCCCTGTGAGCCCAGACGAAGCAGAGGATATGGCAGGGACAGGCAGCTACCTGGTGGTGGGGAGTGGGCTTCAGAGGGGAGGAGAGGGACAGACAGCAGCTGGACCTGAAGGTTTGATGCCAAAGCAGCCGTTTTCCTCACCATCTGCTGTTGTATAAATAGCCATGTATCTGTTTTTCCATAAGATTTTGATAATATATACAAACATTAGCTGTGAATGGCTCTGGTTGCTCCGTACTAACCCCCCCCCCCACGGGGGAGCCCCCGGGGGCTCACCCTTACAGCCTGGAGTCATCAGCTGGAGCTACTCTCAGGGGGATGAGGCCAGTATTGTGCGCGGGGCCCTGACATGGCTATATTAGGCAAGTTCAGGGGATGCTCGGCCCATGACTCTTCCTAACAGTGGGCTCGCGGCCAGCTCCTCACAACAGTCACAAGCCCAGGAAGGCAGGCATCCCTGAGCGGGTGTAGAAATGGAGTAGCCACTTGGGGAGCAGGGCTCACAGGAGTGTGGTGAAGGCACACACGCAACGCTCTCCCCTAATATCCCAGTTCACTCCCGGTCAAGTCGCAGGCATCGTCCTGACGTGGCAGGGCCCCTGTGCCCACCAGCGGTATATATCCAAGGCATCCGTCGGATTTCTGCTGGCTTGAAGTCGCTGCCCCCACCTCCACCCGGCACCGTGGAACAACTGCCACCTTGGGGCAAGGTGACCAGACGTCCTGCTTTTGGGGGGACAGTCCCGATTTTTAACAGTTTTTCCTGCGTCCCGTGGCATTTTTAAAAAGTCCTGATTTTTGGAAAGCATGCACGACAAGCTAGGGTATACGGTTTTCGGCTGCCGTGTGGCTATTTCGCCAGGATAGGAGTTTTATCAATGGTGTCCCGCTTGACCAATGTTAAAACCTGGTCACCTTACCCTTGGGCCTAGCCCCTAGCAGGTTTTTCTGTTTCCAGGCCTTGCTTCCATGGCTGGGTACACAACAGACCTGGCACCTTTGGGTATGACCGAGCAGCCTTGCTGTGCTAGCGTAGGTGGGGCCCGGGAGCAAAGAGCTCAGAACACCACCCCCGGGGTCCCTGTCCGCCCCTCCCCTCCACCAGTTGCCTTGCCTCTCCATAGCTTGGTCTAGGAGAGGAGAGACAAACACTTGTTGGCTCTGGGACCTCAAAGGGCATCAGCTAGCTCCGGTGCAATGCCAAAGCTCTTGACTGTTCATCAAAAGGTTGGCAGTTCAAACCTGCCCAGGAACTCCACAGAAAAAAAGATCTGGAAATCTGCTCTGGTAAAGAGTACAGCCTAGAAAACTGGATGCTCGGTGCACGGAGTCACTGTGGATCAAAACGAGTTCAATGGCACCAATAGCACGCTCGGCCAGAGCTTCTCCCCTGTGCTACCAGACCCCGGCTGATCAGGGCTGGGGAACCAGGGCCTTGACACCATCCCTGCCAGCTCACACCACACACCTCATCAGAGAAGCAGTTCCTGCCTGCACAGCCCAAACCAAACGCACTGCTGTCATCGAGTTGATGGGACAGGGAGTAAGCACCCCTGTAAGTGCCTGAGACTGAGATGCTTTCCAGGAGCAGGACAGACGTCTTTCTCGAAAGGAGCAGCGGCTAGTGGTTTCCAACGGTTGGCCTCGGCCTTAGCAGCCCAACATGTCACCGCTATGCCATCAGGGCTGCTGGCCCTGAGAGCAGGGTGACCAGAGAGCAGGCTACTGTCTAAGTCCAAGCCTTTTGCATGGCCTGCAAATGATGCTACCAATATCCAGATGGACCGTTGGCAGCAAAAGTGTTCCTTGCCGCTTGGCTAGAAGCTTTAGGACTTCCGCTGGTATCCCCCGCAGTCTGCCCATTTTACAGATGAGTGTCACCATGATCAGGCAGCTAATGTTAAGGCACAGCTTGGGACTTCAGCCTGAGGTAGCCCAGTCCTCCCACCCTTTAGAGAATTCAGACCAGTGCTGGTGCCCCCAGGAAGGCAGTGGAGCCCAAACAAATGCTAACAGTCAGACCTCTGGAGCTTACTACAGCAGCCTGTCACCTTGGGAGGCCCTTTCTAGGGACCTTAACCCACAATGCAGTGCTGTTGGGGCAAGGCATTGATTGGGTTGCTGTTCAAACCGACCAGCCCCGAGTGGTGGGAGGATGAGGCTCATCTTCCAGCCTTGAAAACTGAGTTGGGATGGGGTCAATGGCGGTGGGTGGGGTTGGATTCTACCCCCAAGCCCAGCGGGATGGTGTTATCATCTCTGAACCTGACTTCCCAGGTAAATCCTGCTCCGTGTAGGGGGCGGGGCTGCGGGAAGGCAGCCCCCCAACCCTGTTCAGGCCGTGGCTGAGAGGGCACCTGGATCGCGGGAGTGCCGCGCCCCCTGCGGGCGACCAAGTGCCAGGGCCACCGCTGTCCACGACTGCTGACCTACAGAGGCGGCGGGAGCGGGGAGGGCTGGACCCGGCCCAGGGGACCTTGCGGGCACCCAGGGGGCTGCCTCCCATCGCCTTTGGCCAGCGGCGTGGCGGGGGGGGAGCCCAGAGCCACCCTCCCGCGGGGCTGCTTGGCGAGCGCACGCAGCCCGCCGCCTCGGATCGCCGAGCCGGGGCCGCGCGTGGGTGCGCTGCGCTGGCTGGGCACCACGGGGCCCCCACGTACCCCCCTGCCCGGCTCTCCTTAGTACGAAGGATCAAGGATCGATTCGTTTCTAGCGCACCCCGCTCGCCGAGAAAAACACTGGGCTTTGCACTGAGGAGCAAATGATTTGTCCGAGCTGATTTAAGTTTGGATTCAAATGTCGGTCCATCCTACCTGCCTGGGAGAAGCCCGGGTCTGGTGTCCGCAGCGTCCACCCGGAGGCCGCTCCCGCTGCCCCATGCAGTCCTGCCTCCACGCTCCCGGGGGCACCATCCCAGTCTCCCAAGCCCTAGCGGCCCGTACCCAGTCACATCGCCAGCTCCTGTCGGGAGAAGCACTTTCCTCCCCCCAAGCGAGGACCGCGCCCGGCGCTGCTGGCTGCAGACACCCGGCCCGACTTCCCGTCGCCAGAGCCAGAGGCGCCAGCCACCAAGGGGCTTGCGGTCAGACACGGAGCCTTGAGTCCCCCAGCTGTTTCAAGGGGACAGAATGTGGAGCTGGTCAGACAGACCCTGGTCCTGCCCTCAGCCCTTCCTACACACCCTCCTTGGGCTTTCTCTCCAGTCTCCTCCTGACCTCCCTTCGCTGCTGGCTCAGTGTCTGCGCTCCTTCCTGCTCCCCTTTCCTAAGACCCCACTTATATTCCCTAACCCCTGGCTGTCTCCCCACATGGGAACCCCTACACCCCCCTAGAGCTCTACCTCACCGGCACCCACCCCCGGGTTCACTTGTCCCTGTAAGAGGAAGGTCTCTCTGCTCCAGTTGGTAGCCTCTCCAGAGTCCCGTCCCGGGCCCCCCACCTCCACCCCCACGCCATGCTCAACATTCCTTCAGCCTCAGTGCAGCAAGGCCTCACATACCAAATGGGGTCCCCAGAGGGCAGAAGCCATCAGATGCTGCACACCGCCATGCCCTTGGAGGGAGCTGCTTTGATTTGGGAAAGTTCTGCTAGAGGGACAAGGTGACCCTAAGGGGCAGTTACAGTCCTGGAGTCACCTGGACCCTGTGGGCTGTCCTTGTTCCCCTGGTGATGAGCCCCAGATGAATTTTTTTTTTTGGGGGGGATGCAGGAATGTGATGCTACAGACCCCTGGGCTTGTCTTCTCAGGCCACACGAAAGCCCCATTCTGCCAGTCCCCCACATTTTTTTTGGAATGGTGTTCTTTTACATGCTTTGCAGAGTTCATTGATGGACATATTGGAAGAGTTCCAATATGGTGGTGGTGAGCAAAACCGACGCAGTGTCAACACTCCAGGTGCCACCGCTTGACCTCACCCTCCCCAGGAAATCAGGGCATAGCTGTGGACCCCATTCTGTCCCCGCCAATGTCAGCTGACCTTCCCTGTCAGAGCCAGGGGCCAAATGACGTTACTGGCAGGCGCAGCTAATGCGGGGCTGAGTTAAGGCCCCCAACGCCCGGAGGTCTCTGACTTTGCCCCTGAAGCAGCTGACCTGGGAGCTCCAGTCCTCAGCAGGGAGAGCAGAGCCTGTGGGGGTGGCAGAGGGCCCTGGGGACAGTCAGTAGGGTAGCCGGTTCAGAGCCAGGAGAGGGTACAGGAGCCCGGAGGGAGAAACTTGAGGGGCAGGGCAGAAGCCCAGGGTGGAGGCTGAGGTGGGTGCAGAAGGCTAAGCAAGGGGCCTGGCCTAGGAGGGGCTTGGAGGAAGGAAGAGAGTGGGGGCTGCCAGTGGCTTTGCCAGGCTGTGTTGCTACTTGTCTCTTTAAATGAGAAACTAGACAACTGGCGCCTGCCAACTTCTATTGGCAGGCAGTTAACGAGAGCACAGCGATTGCATCCCAGGGAGTAAGGCTGGGGAAGAGGGGCCGGCTAACCTCCCTCCCGACCCGGCCCAGATCACCTCTCGGTAGAATTGCTGGGAGAAGGGGGAGGATGAAGTCATGTCCTCGTTGCCTGGCCTTTGGGGTGGGGAGGCACTGAAGGCAGTCAAGGGGGCCTGAGGTCTTAGGGAACGGACCCCTGGAGGCCTAAGGCAGCTAACAGATGTGCCTTGTTCAGCCCCATCTCCAGCCCTAGGACTCCTGATAACTGACCGGAAACAAGGACTGACAATTTGGTCCACATTACACCCCACCATCTGATACAGAAGGAAGGGGCCCTAGTGTTGCAGTGGGTTCCGTGTTGGGCTGCTAACAGCAAGGCCAGCAGTTCGAAACCACCAGCCTTTCTGAGGGAGAAAGGTGAGACTTTCTACTCCCCATACAGATTCAGAATCATGGAAACCCCGAGAGGTGATTCTGCCTCCTACATGGCTGCCGTGAGTCAGAACTGACTCAATGGCAGTGAGGTTTTTGGTTGAGGAAGGAAGTGAGGTGTGGAGAGCTTCAGAGACATACCCAGGGTGGCATGAACCCAACTTCGAATCTAAGTGTGCCCAAATGAGGCTGCCGGGAGGTACACACTGTGCCCCACTACTAATTGGGAGGTTGGCAGTTTAAACCCACCATAGAAGGAAGGCCTGGCCAACTGCTTCCAGAAACATTACAGCCCGGAACCCCCTACGGGGCACAGTTCTCCTCGGTAACCCCCGGGGTGCCACGAGTTGGAATCCATGCAGTGTCAGACTTCACTGTGGTTGTTGGCAAGGAGTGGAGGGGTGCTGCCTTCACACAGGTGGCAGTGCCTTCTCTGGTCTAGGAGGCCTGACTGCTGGTGAGAGTACCCTCTTTAAAAAACAAAACTTGTTGCCACCATGTGGTTTCCTTCTTGTCGTGACTCTCTATTAGGTAGAATTGGCCCTGTGGGTGTCCGAGACTGTAACCCTCTATGGGAGTAGAAAGCTTTGTCTTTTTCCCTCAGAGTGGCTGGTGGTTTCAAACTGTTGACCTTGAGGTTAGCTGCCCAATATGGCAAAGTCCACTTAATCGGCTTTAGGAGTTGGTCCAAGGACCCTCAGTCTGGGGCTGCTGTGCCTGTGGATGTCGCCCAGGTGGCACCGTGCCCCAGGTGGCATTTTGGACACCCGGGGAGTGTGGCCTCGTTGAAGGCAGAGTTACCAGGTGGGATAGGTCCAGGGATGGGCCAGACTTGAGCTATGTTTTTACAGATTTAATCCAGCAGGCCACAGAGTCAGCCAGTGAGAAGACTGTCCAGGACCCCCCCAGGGCCCCCATCTCATCCCAGAGCGGGCACAGAGGAGGCCCAGCTTTCCCACTGGGAGCCTGGGGGTGAGGGATGGTTTGAGGGCAGGGGCAGTGACCCAGGCGGTGCTCGCCCTCTCTGCACCTCTGTAAAAATAAGTCCATCCATTCGGAGCCCTTCCCACCATCAGTCATTGCCTCCGTCCAGCGCAGCTCCTGCTCCACTTCCCTGTACCTCTGTCCCCATGGGACCGGAGCTTGGCTTGGTCTGGGGCCTGGTGACAGAGGCCCCCTGCCCGCCCCCAGGGTCAGATGCAGATACAGGATGAGGGCATCTCCCAAGGTTGGTGTCCCTGTGGGGGCGGTGGAAACACACGGCGGCTCCTCAGGCTCCTGGGTAGGAGGGCTGCGTTGGCATATAGGGGGGAGGAGCTGGAAGTCAAGGAGACAGAGCTGAGGTCAGTGATGGCCCGGGAGAATAGGAAGCCCCCTGGCCGCCTCCCCACCCCCACCCTCCACTGCCCAGGGAGTCTGGGAGAGGGAGGGAATGTGGGGGGTGGCACAGAACCCGGTGGGTTCCCGAGCATGGTGGGGTGGGAGGAGGAGCCAGGGCCTGGGTTCCGACTTACCTGCAGGGTTGTACATGGGAGGCCCGGCCGGGTAGAATGGATACTGTGGTGCTGCACCACTGGGCGGGTACATGAAGCCAGGTTGGGGAGGTGCAGGGCCAGCTTTAGGGTCCTGGGGGTACGGGTACATTGGCTGCACAGGGATGCCTGTCATGGGGATCTCCTGGCCTAGTGGGGGAGACAAGGATGAGCACTCACTGCTGCGGTTTCTGGGGAGCACCTCCTCCTCCTGCCCAAGCAAGCCCTGTGTGCTCAGCACACCCGTCCCCCCTCGGTAGGTGCTGGGGACTCCGGGAGCCGGAGCACACAGTGGCCTGGGGAATGGCTCCCTTGGACCTGCAGGGGGTGGGGTGTGGGGTAGAAGTCTGAGTGTGCGAGTCCACCAAGCTGCCACCCTTGGGGTCCTCCCCTAGCCCTGCTCTTCCCATTGGATCCCCATATGGTGTTAATAGTCCTTGGGGCCCCACAGGCTGGGGCAAACACATGTATGCCAACCCTAAAGCACGCACTCCATGGCACACTGGAGCACACCCCACTTACACTCGCCGCTACAGGTGCCACAGTGCCCTGGGTGACTCAAGTACAAGTACAGTGCTCAATTACCAGTCAAAGGTTAATGGTTTGAACCTACCCAGAGGAGCTGCAGAAGACAGGCCTGGCCACCTGCTTTCCCGAAGTCACTCCCTTGACTGCCCTGTGGAGCTTTCTACTCCGCACATGTGGGTCGCCGCCATGAGTCAGGGCAGAGACCCACTGCACACATGCACACAGGCTACTGTGGAAGACTCCCCCTCCCTGTGCACAGTTGAACATTCATATATATGTGCACGCTTGTATGCACAGTCCCATGTTGAGCTATGCCTCTGGGATATCCAAAGAGCCCTTGTGGCATAATGGTTATGCATTGGGCTGCTAACTGCAAGGTCAGCAGTTCGAAACCACTAGCCACTCCTCCGGAAAAAAATGAAGGGCTTTCTACTCCCATAAAGAGTGGTAGTCTCCAAAATAATAATCTATAAATTATCAAGGGTTAGTGAGGGAGGGAGGGAGGGGTAAAATGAGGAGCCTGATACCAAGGGCTCAAGTAGAAAGAAAATATTTCGAGAATGATGATGGCAACAAATGTACAAATGTGCTTGACACAATGGATGGATGGTGATAAGAGTTGTACGAGCCCCCAATAAAATGATTTTAAAAAAGAGTGGCAGCCTCAGAAACCCACGGGGCAGTTGTGCCCTGTCCTGTAGGGTCACTGTGAGTCAGCATGGACTTGAAGGCAATGAGTCTGGGCTTATAAGCAAACGTGTGGGTTTCCATGTCGTCAGGAGGGAGGATAGACAGCACACACTACTAAAGAACTCAGAGTCTGGAGCTCCTGGGTGCCCACCATGAGCCCCAGCCCAACCCAGCCCAGGACGAGGGGTACCTTCAAAGGGGCTATGCAGCTGCTGGCGCCGGCGGTACAGGTAGCAACAGGAACAGAGGAAGCAGCAGATGGTGGTGGCAACCACAGCAACAAAGAGGATCACCGCAGAGGCGATGCCCGCTATGGTCTTGGGGCTTTAGAAAAAGAACAGGTGCTCTCACTCAGTAAGAAGAGGGCGTCCTCATGACGGAACCCATAAACTTCTTCTCCAACCCATGGCCAGCAGGGGGCCCTAGCACGCTGGCGTTGGACAGTCCCTGTGGGGGCCTGTCCAGTGTCGGAGACCTCCACTTCCCAGAGGGCTCTGCTGCCTGACAGGCTAATTTGAGGCATGCTGGGATCTGTAGTGCTTCCCCCTCCTTGATCGTTCCTACACCTTCAACTTAATTGATTAGATTTACAACATGGTAGCCCTGGGAGGAGCCTTGGAAATTAAGACAGGGCCATCCTTTCCAACCCTCGGTGAAAGCATAGCGTTCTCCGCAGTCCCCTTCAAAATGAAGTCATTCTGCCAGCCTGCTCACTTTACGAAGCAGAGGCAATGACCCGTGGGAGGGCAGAACTGGGGGTGATCGCCCCGGTAAGGAGAAGTGGCCCTGGGAATCAAACCCAACTCTCCTGCCTTCTTGCTCGGGTTTTTCGCAGAAGCTGCACCCCTCCCCCTTCCACAGGACAAAAGGCAGAGCCTGAAGGCACTCGGGTCGGCCCAAGCCCCTGCACTGACCATCGCCTTCCATGGGCCCGCTGGTGCCCTGGGCTGCAGCTGGGAGTGCGCAGGTGGAAGGCGGAGCAGAGGCAGGGGCTGGGAGGGTGGGGAGAACGGCCCCGAAGGCCCCTGACCGGAGGGGGTGGAGGAAGGGGTGTGGGCGAGGACGCAGGAGCCCACCTGATGGCCAGGCAGTGCTTCTGCTGCCTTTCTGTGATGAGCAAGGTCAGGTCCCTGCAGCAGTACCGCTGGTAGCAGGTCCCGCAACAGAAGGTGAAGAACTCGCAGTCAAACCCTGGATGCCAAGAGCCATTCCGGTCCAAGTACCACAGGCAGTCCTCGTTGGCCAGCGCTGCGGGCAGGGGTGGGGGTGCCCAGTGGTCGCCATGCCAGTTCACCTCCAGCGGGTCCTAGTCCCACGCTCCCGGAGCTCCCAGCCCTCTGGCTCCCAGACACTGGGTTGGAGGGTGAGGGGGGGAGGCGGCTGCCTTCTGGTCTCCACGTTGAGTGTATCAGCCCCCAGAAGCCCCTCCCTAGGCGGAC